GTGGCGCTTTGGAAGAGAAAGGTAACCTCCTCCCAGACTTGGAGCCCAAGCATTTGCAGGTTCCTTCGCCATCAGATTGGACCAGTTGGGACCATCTCACTGATGGAAGGTTCCTCCCCAACCCCCGCCCCTCGGTCTCCCTAAGGACCCCACAGGTGGACAGTGAGCAGAGCAGGCCTGTGGCTATGCATGGTGCACACTTCTCTGCCCCTGGACTGAACTCCTTGAGGGCAGGGACCATGTGCAATTCACCCCTTCATGCTCCAGGGCACCGAAGCCCAGGGTTTGGCACATCGTAGGTGCTCAGTAAATGCCTGTTGAGTGAACCCTTGAATGACACCAACAGGCTTGAAACTGGACCTGTTTGAAGCCCCTGAGTGTTCGGGGCTCCCAGGTCAGTTGGTACTGAGGGGGCCTGGGCAGGGTAGGGCTGGGCGGGGCCAGGCACTCACAGCAGGCAGGACTGGAGCAGTAGACGGAGGGCACCCACAGGTTGGAGGAGCCAGTGTCGAAGATGACTGTGAAATCCTGAGGGGGTGTTCCGATGCCAATGGTGCCAAAGTACTCCATCTGGTAGGGTGGGGACAGCACGGTTCACTGACTGGGGGCTCCCCAGCCTGCCTTCCCCAGGACTGTCTCTGGGTTGTGCCCTTAGCCCACCTGCTGTCCGTCCCTTCACTGTTTTTCTTGCCTTTCTCACCATGTACAATACGTCCATCTTTCAAGGCCCAGCCTGGTCTCCCTTCCTCCTGAAAGTCTCCCTTGATTGCTCCCCTGCTATCCTTTGACTCTTCTCTTCTAAGCACCATTAAAACCTAATACTAATCTGCTGTCCCCTCTTCAGCTCTTGTCCTGTATTTCTTGGTCTTGCCATCCTGGAGGATGTACATCCTGGGACATGTGGACCTTACAGCACCCAGCAAAGTAAACGCTTAAATATTTTGTCATTAAATTGCTGAGTGGGGGAGAAATAAGTCACCTAAAGATGGAAACCTCTCAAGATATCTTATTCCAGAATCTAGGTCTGTGCAGCATGTTTCAAGAAAAGGTATTGTCAGATTCTTAGTTTTCAGTGGCTGCATTCTCCCTTTTGCCAGCACAGTTCCAGCCATGCTGCCCCTTCTCTTTTTTGATGGTGACAAGCTCATTCCCATCCCAGGGCCTATGCACTTGCTATTTCTTGTGCTAGGAAAATGTTTATTCTAGATCTTTTGTTGGCTGGTTCCTTCTCATCAGTAATTCAGAGCTCTAGTCAAATGTCACCTCTGCCAAGAGGCCCTCCCTGACCACCTTATCTAAATGTGCCCCTTCCCCATTCTTTTTCTTCCCATTCCTCTAATTAACTCATTTTTCTTTTGACACTTATTACCTGACATTATCTTATACACTTATGCATTTGTCTCTTGTTTATCTTCCTAGATATTCCCACATCTTTCCTTATATTCTTCTCTAGACATTAAGCTTCAGGAACTTTCCTTATTCAC